GTTTGCCCTTTGCAAACAGACAGTGGTTCAAATGTGATCTTTCTCAAATTGTCAGGATTAACACTGTTTATATTGGGATTATGTCTTTGTTCAAAATTTGTTATTCTTGTTGATACATTCTGAGGTAAAGTTTTAATATTATGAAGGTGAATTCAATCATTTGTGTCCCATATTCGTCTTTCAATGACACAACCCCCTCTAGTACCCCTATATGGACCTTTCCAGTGTTTGCAGTTTTATGTAAATTGGCTAACTTGTTATCCAATTGCTACACTGGGATTATACATAATTACTGGTTGACCTGGTTTGCACAAAAGAACACATGCTTATGTTTGTGATACTGTTTGTGAGCAGTTGACCTAGCAATGAATAGAAAAGGTGTGGCTAAATGTTCCGCTACGAAATACCTGAAAGGTCCATTGCTTAAGTATGTCTAGCTGTTTCAATGTTTCTAGTACACAATGATCAAGTTTGGCTGGTGATAATTGCCTTATATTTATGATGTAGGCTACACCTAATATATTGGATAATCCCTGGTATACACTGATCAGCTAAATCCGCCTTAGGCAAGATACACATATCTGAAATTTTAATTGAAATATCAGTTATGTTTATAAATTCCAAATTTCCACAAAAACTGCAAATTTATTTCTTACAAAAAGTATATATATATTCAAACATTACACATTCATAAACACGTATGACAAATTTCAGGGGAATTTTTTAAGTATTTCTTGTTGAAATTAAAAGTTCACAGAGCACATTTTTTGCAGCCTACATCTGAAGCACTGACTGAAGCAACGGCGGTTATCTCATTAAAAGAAGCTAAATCTTATTTTACCAGCTTCCTTCTAAATTTGTTATACCTAATTTGGTCTTAGGTATACAGAATATGAAAAAACAAGCAAATTCGTTGAATTTATATCCCCCGCCGAGTTCTGGTTATTATTAACACAACAACTGAAGACATAAGGCTTTATTTATATATTAATCATGGCATAAACAGTAATATTCTTTGAACTTGATAAATATTCAGGGCAATAACAGAGCCATAACTTTGTGTTAAATAGTAATATCTGGAAATGCCAATGAGATGTATGCATACTGCATAACTAATCAAGGGCCATAAATCTGAGTTATAAGTATCTGACCGGAACAAGGCGACTATATGCACATCTCCTCTTAGTATCCCATAAAGTTTCATTGAATTCCAGCCAGTAGTTACAGAGAAGTAGCACGGAAACGATTATTGCTCTGGTTGTATACTGCCTAAGTTATCAAGGGTCATAACTCTAAGTTAAAATGTCTGACCCGAACAAGGCGACAATATGTGCATCTCCTTTTGGTATTGAAGGTTCCAATAAAGTTTCATTGAATTCCAGCCAGTAGTTGCAGAGAAGTAGCGAGGAAACAAATATTTTTCTATATGCATACTGCATAACTAATCAAGGGCCATAACTCTGAGTTAAAGTGTCTGACCCCAACAAGGCAATGATATGCGCATCTTCTCTTGGTATTGAAGGTTCCCATAAAGTTTCATTGAATTCCAGCCAGTAGTTGCAGAGAAGTAGCGCGGTAACGATTTTTGCTCTATATGCATACTGCATAACTAATCAAGGGCCATAACTCTGAGTTAAAGTGTCTGACCGGAACAAGGCGACAATATGCGCATCTCCTCTTGGTATTGAAGGTTTTCATAAAGTTTCGTTGAATTCCAGCCAGTAGTTGCAGAGAAGTAGCGTGGAAACAATTTTTCTCTATATGCATACTGCATAACTAATCAAGGGCCATAACTCTGAGTCAAAGTGTCTGACCGGAACAAGGCAATGATATGCGCATCTCCTCTTGGTATTGAAGATTCCCATTAAGTTTCATTGAATTCCAGCCAGTAGTTGCAGAGAAGTAGCGTGTAAACGATTTTTACTCTATATGCATTATAACTGCATAACTAATCAAGGGCCATAACTCTGAGTTAAAGTGTCTGACCGGAACAAACCGATGATATGCGCATCTCCTCTTGGTATTGAAGGTTCCCATAAAGTTTCATTGAATTCCAGCCAGCAGTTGCAGAGAAGTAGTGCGGAAACGATTTTTACCCTATATGCATACTACATAACTAATCAAGGGCCATAACTCTGAGTTAAAGGGTCTGACCGGAACAAGCCGACGATATGCGCATCTCCTCTTGATATTGATGATTCCCATAAAGTTTCGTTGAATTCCAGCCAGTAGTTGCAGAGAACTAGTCCGGACAGATTGACGGACGGACGGACAACGCCAAAACTATATCCCCCTCCCGATTCCATCGGCGGGGGATAAAAATGTTTTGAATGTGTTAAATGTACATATTTTTTTTGACGAAACACAAGTCATTTTAAACGGTAATCAGGTTGACTTTATCAACTTAAGGTATGCACATGCCTTTGTAAAAATCAGTTACTGCCTTGTTCAAACCTAATACGTTTATCTCGAAAAAATTTTATCTCGACATTTTTTTGGACCCGATGACTCTGAGATAACGAGAGTCGACTGTATAAAATCTGAATCTTAAAATTATATCACAATGTTCATATTTGTATCTGAAATAGTGCATGTGTTAAAACTTACTGGTTGCAATTGCTAACGGAAAACAACAGTTCCAGTAGTCAGTGCCTGCTATGCAATTTTATGGTGAAGATTTATGCATTGCTATGGAAATGTTTGCTATGGAAGTCACTGGTTGCTATGAAAAATTATAGTTTGCTCTGAAAAGTCAATGGCTTGCAATTTGCTATGAAAACTAAACTTTAGGGATTTTAGATTTAGAGAAGAAATGTTTTTAATTATTTACAATATACATATAAGGAAAATCTATGTTCCTTCATGGCGGTGCAATTTTTACCCGAAGGCTTTAATTTGTAGAATTTTTGTAGAGGTCCACCAGACAATGTTTCATACCAAATATCTAAGCTAAAGCCTCTTTAATATAATAGAAGGTCTTTTTTTTTTTTTTTTTACTTTATACATATAAGGAAAATCAATGACCCCCTGGGGCAGGGCCAATTTTGAACCCAGTGATTTTATTTGAACAAACTTGGAAAACACCTATTAGAAGATGTTTCAGGCTAAATATCTAAGCTTTAGTTCTTTGGCTTTTTTAGAAGAAGATTTACTATGTTTTTACTATATACATATAAGGATAATCAATGACACTCACGGGCAGTGCCAATTTTTCCCCAGAGATTTTATTTGGTCAAATTTGGTAGACACTAACTAGAAGATGTTTCATGTTAAATATTAAAGCTCTAGCTCTTATGCTTTTTAGAAGAATTTGGGTTTTTTTGTTTTTTATTTTATACATTTTCAATTTTTACCCACGGCTTTTATTTGAACAATCTTGGTAGACATCCCAAGAAGATGTTTCATGCTAAGCTGTATCTTAGCATGTAACAGTATTCTTTGAAGAAACTTTAAAGAGCTTCGTTCATGCCAGGAACATTTCTGCTTAATTTAAACAATATTGGCCAATATGTATAGGAGGAGCTGTTGTCTTAAGAAAACGTTAAATGCCATTCATAACACACAACACACAGAGTGACAGACACACAAAATTGGACACTGAGTGATCACAATAGCATACCCTTGAGCACTTTGTGCTCAGGTTAACTAAAAATATTTCAATATGTATTGTCTCCCTTTCATTATTTAACTCATGAGTTGGACTATTTCATAGCAAGGGGAATGTTTTGAAAAAAAGCCAATATATTGGGCAGTGCCACTTTTTACCAAAAGCTATAATTTGAATAATATTAACAGAGGTTCACTCTAGACAATATTCATGCTAAATATGCTTGTAGTTTTAAAGAATTTTTTTTAACTATATACATATTTATGAAGGTGTCAAAATAATTGACGGACTTCCAATTATTTATGGTAAATTGTACTGGATTTATTAGTTTATACCAATTTATTTTAGTTTGATTGTGTTAGAAGCTATAAGCTTATTGGAACTGTCTCTCGAATCCGTTCCTCAGGAACCTATCAGTACTTAGCAATACGTGTAAAGTTTCTTGCTCAAGGTAATGACTGTGATTTGCACCTGATGGGGTTTGAACCCACATGGCCAGCAATACTTAGATCACTGGTCTGACGCATTAACCATGCCGCCACTTATTCAATTAATTCTATACGGACCATGAAAAAACCTTTTACACATAAAATTTCGTGTTGTGTATAGTTTTTTTTATGAAGAATAAAAAGGGGAAAAACTGGGACTTACATTTTACTTTGGCACATAGAGAAAATCAACTTACCAAAGTTCGACTCAAAGAAGTTCTACTGTAATTTACATAGGCTCTAGGCTTTTTAGTTCAAAAGGATAATGTTGTGGTATTTTTACATTCTTTCTATTACTCCTTTTGGTTGCCATGGCAACCAGATTTCAGCATGGAATCAAATTCTTCGAACAACTTCAGAAGCCCTTCACCCAAGGAACAATTCTTAAGTTTGGTTGAAATCTGACTTCAGGTTTTTAAGGAGTAGATTTTTTAAGGTTATTATCTAATACACACACAAACAAGTGAATCGCTATATGCCACCATCACATTAAAACTTGCTTGAGTAATATAACATTCATTTGCTTTAAATAAAATAATAATGATAACTAAATTTCAATAATTTTGCTAATAATTAATTAATTAAGAATTGTCAAAGTTCTTTAAAAACAATCTTGTTCATTATTTCCATTTAGTTCTGATTGTGTTTCAAGTTCCTTTGACATTAATCACCACAGTCATTTATGATAACTCCAGTCGTTCTGGTAGAAAAAACATCAGATTCCTGTCAATGTATAATTACAGGCTGACTTTATTTAGAATCAAAATAGAACCAATAACTGTCTATAAGCAAAATTTCCTGTTACTGGAAGAATTTGATGGGGATAACTAATAAGCAACTAACACTATCTCAGAAACAAAATAAAGTTAAACATAAGATAAATTTATCTACATGAACTTAACTACCTGAAAATGGTTTTATTCCACGATACTCTTCATCAGAGGGATCTTTTGAGCTGCCTTTTCCTCCAAATTCCCAATCAAAGTTTCTATTTAAATCTACCCCAGAGCTTGTACCTCTCCAACAATAATTGTTTGATGTTTCAACATGCTGTCTACCATCTGGATTAGCTATTGCAACTATGTATATATCTAACTGGTTCAGATCTACATCAGGGTCTTCAGAAGTTTGCCAACTAAAGAGTAACTTTTTAAGCATTTGAAATAATGATTCAACAGGTAAAAATTCTCTTGCATGTTCACCAAAAGACAAAAGCACTTTAACTCGATCTGAATTCTTCAGATTAACATTTTCAAAATTTGTTACACGTAAAACATGCTGTTTTTTTCCAAGTTTTGATAAATATTTTTCAGGTTCTACATATCTTACAAAACCTCTATTTGCCTCAAGAAAATGTTCTATTGTCATGGAAGCTGATGTTAAATTGTGGTAAACTTTGTAGTCTGGTTTAAACCTTTCTCTCTGCCGTTTCACATCCATTGTGTAAACATGTAAAACATTAATACAAAGCAAAAATATTCTGGTTAATGTTACTGTGCTTGTTTGTATTTGACTCATTGCATATTCTGTATGTCATGAAAACTTTATTTTGACTCTTTTCTAATCTTGATTTCAATTACATTTGCAGGTGTAAATATATGAAAAGGATGAAATGTAGTTTCCTCCTGACTGAAATTCAATGAACATATTTCAAGAACATAACCAATATTTAATTGAAATAACACATGTAGTAGTAGTGTTTATTTTAATAAACAAGAGCGATCAGTGATCACATGTGTCGCCTCATGATGCAAATTTCATGTTGGGACAAGTTTTGTGACAGACAGACGGACAGTGCACAACTAGACTTGGTACTGATCATTCCTGTAAAGTTTGGATAAAATTGCACCAGTAGTTTATGAGGAGTAGTCCGGACAAGCTTTTGTGTATCTGGCAACACACAGAAAAAAACACCTTTTTATCAAATTTATAACTCGTCCAAAAATCATTCAACCGGAAAACCCGTTCAATATGCACAAGGACTTGAGATTCAGATCAATCCAGTAAAGTTTCATTGAAATTGCATTAGCGGTATAAGAGAAGTAGTCCGGACACACTTTAAAAATAAAAATTATTAAAGGGCCATAACTCTGACAAAAATCATTGAACCGGAAAATGCTGACAATATGCAAAACTAGACTTGGTACTGATCATTCCTGTAAAGTTTGGATGAAATTGCACCAGTAGTTTATGAGGAGTAGTCCGGACAAGTTTTGTGACGGACGGACAGACGGACGCACAGACGGACGACGGAGAAGTGATCCCTATATGTCGCCACTACTCCGTAGAGGTGACACAAAAATCAAAAACATAAGATATAGATGTACACTCAAGTTAAAATGTGTAAAAGTTTGGTTTACATATAATTTCTGTTAACTTTTAGCTTATTTCTTCCTGATGATAAATATGTTTATTCAAGAATGAATGTCTGGTTAGCACAATTGACTGGGAATCTAGCAATCCTGGTTCAATTCCCAGATAGTGCAGGTCACTTTCGAATTGTGATTGAGCATGAAATCCTTTCCATTGTCATTAGCATTGTACCTCTGCTTTTGCATGTACAGAAGTTATCAGTTCCTTGAGAAAGTGAAGGCAACTTAAGTACTGGTAAACTAATTCACAGCCTGCCCAGGAATGATACAATTTTTCTATTTTAGTAACATTTATTATTATTGACCTCAGGGGGTCCAAAAGCAATCACAACCATGGTCTTCATATAAGCTAGCTATATACCAAATTTGATTACAATATCTAATTCTTAAGTCTTAAGTTACCACATGGAAAACATTTTTCCGTTTTTAGTACCAGTGTCCTTGACCCCAGGCAATCCAAAAGTAATCCCAACTGGAGTCTTCATACAAGCTTGCTTTATATCAAGTATGATTGCAAGATTTAATTGCTTACTCTAGTTGATGTCTGGAAACCATTTTTTATTTCTAGTCACAATGACCTTGACCCCATAAGCAATCCAAACCAGGTTTCCACATAAGTTTCCCTACCAAAATGAATTTATGTGACTTACATGTTTCTTATATGCAACTTATACATGACTTGTAATAGAACTATGTCACATAGAAATCAACTAGAAAACCTGTCTAAGTCAGTTATAGGAAATAATGTTACATATATGTCACTTTCAGCCATTTTTTTCTCAACATTAGTCACAACATTAGTCACATACAAGTCACATGTAAGTCCCTTATACAGGTCAAGTTTGAGATAACCAGTTTCTCTCAAAAGTGTTAGAGGTATCAACTTGAAACTTCATAGGTGGATTTATCTTATTGAGAAGGAATGCTGTGCGCAAGAATGATAACTCTACCCTTTAAAATTTTTGAGTTATTGCCCTTTGTTATTTTTCATACTTTTTGTCTGGAGCTTAAAGCTAACATACTAACATTCAAAAACCTTGTGACCTTGACCTTTCACAGTGACTCCAAAATCAATAGGGGTCACTTACTAGTTATGACCAATCAGTATGTGAAATGTGAAGACTTTGTGATAAAAAGTCTTCAAGATAATATGCGGAAACCATTCTGACATTTAAGGCCCCTGTGACATTGACCTTTTATATAGTGACCCTTAAAGCTATATGGATCATCTGTTGGTTATGACCGATCACTATGTGAAATATGAAGACTTTGTGATAATTATCTTTCAAGATAATGAGCTGAAATCATATTACAATTCAAGGCCCCTGTGACCTTGACCTTTGACCTAGTGACACCAAAATCAATAGGGGTCATTTACTAGTTATTACCAAGATAATGAGCAGAAAATATTCTGACATTTGAGGCCCCTGTGACCTTTACCTTTGACCTAGTGACCCCAAAATTAATAGGGGTCATCTACTAGTTATGACCAATCACTATGTAAAATATAAAGACTTTGTGCTAAACAGTTTTCAAGATAATCAGCGGAAACCATGTGGTCTACCGACGGACAGACAGACAGACCGAAAGACCAACATTAGCAAAACAATATACATTCTCTTCTTCGAAGGGGGGCATAAAAATTATGCAGGGTAGTGGTATCATTCTTGTGCACTGCACTCCTCCTCAATATGATCTACCCACCTATGAAGTTTCAAATTGATACCTCAAATACTTTTGAGATAAGCTCCGGACAAAAATGTTGGTCGGAAGGACAGATGGACAGCTGTTCTAACGAGACAGTAATAATGTGGCTACTCTCTTGTTCTCTCAATTGTTCTTTTTAGCCACACAACAGAAAATAGCCACATAAAAGCATTACAGAATGAATGTCATCAAAGAGAAAGAACAGTTACCTATTGTCCCTCTAGCCACAAAATAACTGTCCAATGGTAGCAGTTGGACGGACGGAAGGACGGAAGGACAGACTGAGAGCTCAGACTAAGTTTCAAGTGAATACCTTATACAATACCTAATGAGCTACTGTATGGACAAAAAATAAGCATGAACTAGAAATGTGTCGTCACGCCACAGATGTCCCCACATGCAGCCAAAATTTCAGATGTTACAATATTTAGTTCAAAATTTGTTTGCACAAACTATTTTTTTCAATTTTAGTTCAAAACCCTTAAAATTATTCAATGTAACCACAAACCATTTTTATACAAAGTTCAAGGTACTGAAACTATTCAGTGCTAATGTTTTGTTAATTGCATATTGCATATTTGTAGCCACAATAATGACTACATACATTTCTACAAAAGTATGAGTGCTGAAACTGAAAAATCAAAGTTTTTCCAATATTCAAGAGAAATAACTTTGTCCAAAAATCATTGAACCACGACCAAATTCGAACTTGAACTGCTTATTCCAAAGATGTATCAATATGTCAAATTTGAGTTGAATATGTACAACCATTGGGGAAATAATGAACGGAAACAAAAAAATTCTGATTTTTTTTCAAAGTTCAAGAGGGATACCTCTGTAAGCTATAATCAAACAAATGATGACCAAATTCAAACTTGACCAGTGTATTCTTATGACAAATCCATATGTTAAATTTGAGTTGAATATGTACAACTGTTGGGGAGATAATAAACGAAAACTGAAAATTTCCTTTTTTTTTCAAAGTGAAAGGGGCATAACTCTGCCAAAAATCATCGCACCATGACCAAATTCAAACTTGGCCTGCACATTTGACGTATCCATATATTAAATTTGAGTTGAATGTGTAATACCGTTGGGGAGATAATGAATGGAAACTGAAAATATCATATTATTTTCAAAGTGAAAGGTGGGCATAACTCTGCCAAATATCATCGAACCATGAATAAATTAAAACCTGACCTGCCCATTCCTTTGACGTATCCATATGTCAAATTTGAGTTGAATGTGTAATATTGTTGGAGAGATAATGAACGGAAACTGAAACCTTCATATTATTTTCAAAGTGAAAGGGGGCATAACTCTGCCAAAAATCATCAAAACATGACCAAATTTGAACTGGACCTGTATTTTCTTATGATATATCCATATGTCAAATTTTAGTTGAATGTGTGCAACCGTTACTAAGATCATGAAAGGAAACTGAAGATGACCTAATGACAGAATGATGGGAGGACGGAATGACGAAAGGACAGAACAGGGTAACACTAAATGCCCAAGTCATTATATGGCGGGGCATAATAAAAATAGGAAAGGGCAATAACTGAAAAATTATGCACGGTAGCGTTATCATTTTTGTGGGCTGCACTCCTCCTCAATGAGATCTATCCACCTATGAAGTTTCAATTGATACCTCTAAGACTTTTTGAAATAAGCTCCAGACAAAAACAAGAGGGCCATAATGGCCCTAGATTGCTCTCCTGACCCATCAAACTCATCCGAACAATTACCTAGACAACCATTCTGACCAAGTTTCATGACAGGTGAGTCAAAAATGTGACCACTAGATTGTTAACAAGGATTATCCATATTTGGGCACTGTGACCTAGTTTTTTACCCAGGTGACCCATATTTGAACTTGACATAGAAATCATCAAAACAAACTTTCAGACCAATTTCCAGGATACTTGGATCAAAACAGTAGCCACTAGTGTTAACAAGATTTTTTATATTTTTAGCTCTGGTGACCTAGTTTTTCATGCAAGATGACCCATGTTCGAACTCATCCGAGCAATTACCTAGACAAGCATCCTGACCAAGTTTGATGATAATTGAGTCAAAAATGTGACCTCTGGAGTGTTAACCAATTTACAGGATATTTGGATCAAAACAGTTGCCACTAGAGTGTGAACAAGATTTTTCTATTTTTAGCTCCTGTGACCTAGTTTTTCATCCGAAATGACCCATGTTCAAACTAATCCAAGCAATTACCTAGACAAGCATCCTGACCAAGTTTGATGACACTCGAGTCAAAAATGTGAGCACTAGAGTGTAAACAAGGTTTTTCTATTTTTAGCCCCTGTGACCTAGTTTTTCATGCGAGATGACCCATGTTCAAACTCATCCAAGGTGTCATCTAGACAAGCATCTTGACCAAGTTTGATGATGATTGAGTCAAAAATGTAACCGCTTTAGTATTAACAAGGTTTTTCTGTTTTTAGCTCCGGTGACCTAGTTTTTCATCCGAGATGACCTATGTGCGAACTCATCCGAGCTATCACCTAGACAAGCATCCTGACCCAGTTTGATGAT